GGGGGGGGGGGGGGGGTAGGAAGCCAAAATAGCCCTTTAAGCCAGAATTTTAAATGCTGAGACCTGCAAACATTCTAGACAACAGTAAACTGTAAAGCTTGGCAAAGATACAACAGCAATCAGTTTCATCAGCTCTGTTTACCTAGAAAGGTATAGGGGTGTACAGCTTACATAGCTGTACATGTGCACATTTATGTTTATTATTATTTAAACAGGCACATATGTGTTCACTTACTAGGCACCCATGAAAGCAGGACATTCAGAAAATTCTTTAAAATGAAAATACATCCAATTTTGTTGCTCCACTCTGTGTTCACCCTTCTGTGGCTAAGTGGTGYGGTGCAGCACACTGAGCATCCCACATTTCATGGGGAAGACAGCAAGAGAGAAAGTGTTATCAAATCAGAATTCAGCAACTCTCAGGCACTTGGCAATGGTCTTTCATGATTTATTTTCTTTCATACAATTGGAAGAGGGATAATCTACTGGACAAAAAAATAATTCCTGCCTGACAGTGAGAAAGTTGTATCTGTTTCAAAGAAAGAAAYACCTTGTGTTATTTTATTCAGATCCCACATTTTTTTTGTATTCTTCTATCAGTTAAGTTAAAACATGGCTTTCATTTAAAAGAAATAAAAAATTAATCTCTCCTTAAGCCACTGCAGTGGCAGTGCTATAAACTAGGGCAAAATTCAGCACATCGAGTTTTAATGAAAGACAGCTTGAAAAAAGGTCATTAGTAGCATCCCAGCACACAGAAAAATGATATCATTAACTGGCCACTATATGTATGACCAGTGTCTCGCTTCTTTGCTAGCCCCAGTTTACAGCATGCCATGTTCTCGACAAAAGATATTAGCTTAGAGCAAATCTCGTAGTCATAACTCACGCAAAACTCTATCGACTTTAGAAGAAATTTTTCCCAAGTGAGCACTGTGGATTCTGGCTGAAGAAAATTAAGACCTCGAATMTCAATGCAAAGCTATGCCTATTATACAAGCTGGTACAGAAAAAAATGGAAAAAAAAATTACCTGTGTACGAACAGAAAGCTTCAACTGCTCTTCAGTTTCTGCCTGTCATTGCACCAGCTCTTCTCCCTCTCTGCCCTGGGCTCCCTCCACCAGAAAGGAGTCCCTGTCTCAAGCGAGGGGCTGCAGCCCCGCCGCCTGCAGCTCCCCTTGTTTCCCTGTGCTGCTGCTGCCCGTCCTGCGCTCCCGCGGCTCCGCTCCCCTCCCGCTGCTCCCCGGTACCTGGATCGTGGATGCCGCTCCTGGCTGGATCGCAGCGYCTCTCTCTCTGCTCTTACGGACGGACTGACTCCAGCCGCTGCYAGTGCCACTGCCTAAATGGCGACTGCAAAGCTCTCCCAGGCTTTTAACTGCCACCTACTGAATAATTGTGGAACATATATATGTATAGGCTTATGTACATATTTGCTGTAATTTTATGRTTTTCTTAACCAATGTAGTAGATTTTTACAATTAGTATTTAAAGCTTCTAAATATACTGTAGATTATATTAACGTGTGCTCACAATTCTCCCTTTCTTTCAGCACTGAAACACAGAACAAGCCTGTCCCTTTAACTTCAGAAAGCTTACAAAGCCTTTGGTGAGGCTAATCCCTAGGGCATAAAGCAGCATAGCCCTATTCAGATCAATGGAGCTGTGCTGTTTTTTATTAGTCAAGAAATTATCCCCTAATATTTATCCCCCCACCCCCCCAAAAAAAACCCAGCAAAAACCAAAAACCAAATAACAAACCCAAACCAAAACAAACCAGTAGGAAAAAAAGTGCCTTAAAAATAGTTTTTATCCAACATAGCCCCTCAGAATTTCACTCATCTGAAACAGATTAGACTTTTTTTTTCCTGACAGCAGCGTAAAACAGGATTCCTGAGATTTATGGACAAGCATAAATTAAGAGGTTTTCTCCACTTTTAACGGTGCTTTTTTTTTTTTTTTTTTTTTTTTTTTTTTTTTTTTTTTTTTTTTTTTTGTGAAAAATCCAAAGACAAAATCCAATGTCTCCATCTGTTTATTTTTTAAGCAGCTGCTCCTAGTGCTTTTCTGGGTTAGAAGTGAGGTCCACTGGAGGTGTTTGAACTGCCACTGCAGAAAAGGAGCTTAAGTACAGGGTTTCTCTATGAATCTGTGTGAATCCCCAGAGAAGGTGTATAGACCCTGAGATTTGCTCAGCTGGTTAGAGCATGGTGCATAAAACACCAAGGTTATGAGTTCAATCCCACAACAAGTATATTGAGAGTTGGACTTGATGATCTTTTGTGGGTCCCTTTCAGCTCAGAGTATTCTGTGATCTGTGAGATGTGACCTTTATAACCAAATAGCACAAGTTTRTAGGACTGTGGTTCCTCTAAGCCAGCTGCTAACAGGGAGCTGAGTTGAGTTCCAATATAAAAGGGTTCTGTGCCCATCTTGAGGGCATTACCCTGTGGAGGGCTGGTGGTACCCAGCAACTGTCATAGCAGCCAAGAAAGAGTTCAGTTTTTATGCTTGCTGTGACTGACCTGTTGAGTAGCTAAATCCTTACAAGCTGGTGTGATAATTTTTAAATGACACCTTTGGTGGCATTTAGCATATGTTTCTTTTTCTCTTTAAAAATGGATTTGTTTTGACTGCTTTTGTAAAAGATTTATTTATTGTGTTAACACTTTTGTTATGGGCTTCACAGAAATGAAGAGGTTTTTCCTCTACACGTGCATGTTAGAGAGTACATGTGTATTAGGATACACAAYGACCTGCAAAATATACCCTGAGGAAATAATTTGCATTAGTGTGTGCTTCTGTTACAGATTAATCCTGAGCCCTGTTTCCACAGGCTCCCGGGCAGCAAACCATGGATCAAACCATGTGCTGCAGTCCTGCTCCCAGAGCCTGACAGCAAAGCCCTGCCTTTGGCTTTGTCACCGCTTCTCAGCAGTATCTTAGTCCTCTGTGTATGGAGAACTAGCTAATCAATGTCTCAAARTGAAAGAATTGCATTATAAATTAAAAATTGTAGTATAATTACTGCAACACAGGACAGGTCAAACTGTAAAATTTATAATATTGCTCAGGGRTTTAGTCAGTGATTTTTGCTGATTCTGCCCCATGGTAGCAGGAGTGCAGAATCTGGACCCAACTATTCAATAAGTCAAAGTGCTCTTTTATCGACAAAGAATATGGGTTCTCAATAATTTTTACAGGTTAACAGATCTTAGTCCTCAGTGTGTGGAAAATTATTGTGATACATCTTTCAATTTTCCTTAAAAACAGTGGAAACATCTAAAGAATTTTAGAGCCATGACTTGCCACAACTTTTACTCACTCAGTTCATATTAYAAGTCTGGGAAAATCTAGTTCTTGCACCGTATTCCAACAGGATGGGTGCTCAAACTTTAGAAAACATACCTTTTCAAAATGCTCATTCTTTCTGAAACTGAATTTATTTCAAATGGAAGTGTAAGTATAGCCTGTCTTCATACCTGTTCAAAKAACTGATATTTTTCCTGTACAGTTTGCAGGTATGTACCTCACTAATGGACACAAAGTCCTTTCTACAGTTTCCACCTAGGCTATATCCCACCCAAACATCATGAGATTTTTCTGATCAAAAGCAGAGTACTGATTTTTCATGCTACAATTTACTGTAAAGTAGTCTTCTGTGACATTTCCCCATCTCTGCCAAAAATTAACATRGCAGTTGCTACCCTCAGCAATGTTTTGTAACATTTCTGCTTTAAATGGCATTGTTCAGGTGTGCCAGGCAAGACAGACTTCCAAGATTTTAGGTATGTCCCACCTAATAGTGTTATTCACATGTGGTCCCAGCAGAGGGTCCCACAAGCTAAACCCAGGTCAGTCCCACATGGGGCACAGCTGGGTTAATATTTTCCTACCCTAAGCTGCAAGAGGAYGCATTGCTCGGGATGCTGATGCATGGGATCATGGGGCAGAATGGACAGGGTCTGTTTGCAGTGGAGACCTTCCCTACTCCCAGTGGCACCTCAGACCTCCACTCTACAAATTATGTASCAGTGTGCATCACCCGTCACTGTGCAGAAGGGAAAGTGCAGAAACCAAGGGCACAGAGCCCTACCAGAGTATTTCTGTTACAATCTCCTCACAAAGAAAAATCCTAGGYAAGTTAAGTGATTGTCAGGTTTCTGTACCGTGTCCAAGCTGGAGAGGGCATGTAAGGAACAAGAGGTCTGCTTATTTAGCAAAATATGAGCTGCCTAAAGCTTGAATGCTCATTTAGCACAAACCTGCATGAGCACTGAAAGTACAGCTTTTGAGTCAAAATTCAGTCCATGTCCTATATACAGCATGGRAAAATGAGAAAGTCTTCAGCTTCCCTGAAAAAGCTTAAGATGTAAAACAGTGGCTCACAYGTAAAGATTTTCTCTCTGCAAGACAAAACATAATCTTGACAAAGAGAAGCCAGCAGAAAGCAAGGACTAAGCTCAATTTTGCCTGCTCTTGGATGGCTTTCCTCCTGTTAACCTGTTTCTCTGGAATACTTTCATTAAAACACAACCTGGCTAAAATACATTCCTCTTCTTTTGCATATTTGGAAAGTTAATGTCTTAGCTATACAACATTTTAAAGAAATTTAGTTCTTCCTTGCAACTATCATTCAAAATGGCAAATAATGTAAATTTATAATAATGTTTTGGTGTCTTCTTATACTGTRTTTAGTTGTACTAAAAAATTGGCTAATCTGTTGTCTACATCATAGGTATGGAGGATACTGCAAAAAGCCTTATCATCAGAAATATTTACTGGAGTTTTTGTCAAACAGGAAGAAATTAGTCTTCAGAAAAAAATTATTATTAAAAGTGTATCTCCAGGATACCTGATTGTCAGCAGCGGATTTTTTAATGMCTTGTATTTGGTGCGGTAATTAGATTCTTGCTCCATGATTATATATGGCAGTAGCTACAGGACAGCTCACCATAAAGACCATATTTTGTATTTGTGCACTGTCTCTGAATGCTAGGAAACTTCCACCAGTTTGTAAATGAAGCATAAAATTATAACGGTATTTTTAGTGCCTGCATACTGCTTAGAACCTCAAAAACTAAAAAAGAAAAAAAAAAAAGCTACAGCTATCATATCAAGTAACTATTGAATAGAATTGCAAAAATATAATAAACAAATTATTTACTGTACTTTTGCAGTTGAGCTAAGTGTAWCATTGTCGATTTACAATGTACTGGACAAATGACTACCTCTGGTAGAATAACATCTTATGTATAAATCAAATGTGATTAAAACATATGTAGTATTTTAAGCTGCTAGTGGTTTACACCCAAACCATGAGATGATGGGATCAAGTTCTTCCTGAATGTAATTGAAGTTCTCATTTATTGAGAGACTCTGGAATACCTCTTGATTGGATTGTATTAGAAAAATAGGTCCTTACCCTTATGTTTAAAAAGCAAAGCTTCTCCTGACAATGAGTGCTGCTCTGTGTTGTGGAGCAATTCTTCTGGAGGGAGCACATTGTGCTGTATTATTTTAAGCCCCTATGGTCAGATAGAGAAAATCTGGTTTTGCTAGCTGTGGAATTTTAGTTTTATATATATATATATATATATTTATTATTATTATTTTTTTTGCAAGGAAACTTTGTGTTGTACACAAAAGTTACAAATATTTTTTTTTTAAAAAATTGTTGCAATAAAATCCTGCCTAGCTCTGAGCTTGCAATAAAAGAAAGCAGCTAGTCCAGCAAAATTGCCAGACATGCCATTCTTTACTGACTGTAGATGAAACTGGTAGTTGAGCGAAAATATTGTCAGATTCAATAAAGTGCCATTTTCTTCTCCCTTAATTTTCAGTGGGTTTCAGCCCAGTSTTTCTCACCCACACCTCAACAGGATGAATACAGTTGCCTTTAAACACCCTTTTGACTTGCAATCTCCATTATTGACGTACTAATCTGACTTAAATTTTTCTAAGTTTTAACCTGATTCCTGATGAAGAGAATGGAACAAGAAGACATTTTTACATTATTGTCTGTATGACGGTCGTAACTCCAGAGCTTGCTTCTGAGCACTTGAGAGCAAGGGATTTCCTGCTGATTTACAGGGAAAGCAAGACAAGGTTTAAACCTCATTGGCTTCTGGGATCTCAAATATTGAAAGGTGATTGAAAGAGATAGGCCATTGAGTCCATTCTCTAATATCTTTCTGGGGTATGCAGGGAAGAATGTAATYGTCACTGAAAATTGATGGGTAACTGCATTTAACCTGATTTTCTGTGAAACGGTAAGAGAGTGTAGCCAATTGTTTAAAAAAAAATTATTGATGGCATTTATAATGAATAAAGAGGAACAGAAAAAGAAAATTTCTTTGTTGTAGG